CCCCAAAACCCCAAAACCCCAAAACCCCATAAGTAGTTGATTCAAATAAATTAAAGAAATTAAGAAAATTGATTCAAAGTTGCTGAAAAGAGACGTTTGGGAACATTTCACTTTGTATTTCATTTATGTCTATATCATTCCCTAATCTACTATGACTTGTGGTGTAATTCTAGTGTTTCCTTAACTAGAGTTTTCTAGTGGTATATGAATGACTAATTTCTCTTCTCAAAGGAGAATTTTTAATACTATTTGGAAGATAATTTTCACATCTTATTTCGCATTATGGTACATCATCAATGTTTGATTTGTTTAGTTTGTACATTAGCCTATCATCCCGACCTTAGATTTTTTCAAAATTAGCCATCACTGGTGTTCTTCTGTAATTGCTTAAGTTATCTATAGCTCTAACAATTTTATCACTATCATAAGGATTCTATGGCTTATTAGGATCTATTTCAAGCCTCTCTTTATATTCACGAGTGACAAATCGTTTGAAATCAACTACACTATTTTACTAATAAACTAATTAGTAGTTAGGATTGTATATCTAATTTTAGGCATTTTGATTATCTTTTGGAAGCCCAAAGAAGGTATCTATTGTTGTATTTGAAGAAGTCTTTGAAAAATCTGGAGTAGGGCTATTTTTAAACTGAGTATGATTTCGAGGCATTTTATTGAAATTTATAAACCTCTCCTCACTCAAAAAACTCCCTTTAGTAATTGGAGGCCTTCTGATCTACTTTGTGAATTCAATTGGTGATTAGATATGCTTTTTCATTTTATCATATATTTCAACTAGCGACAAATCCCTTTAAACTTATCTTAATCCATCAGTTCTGTAACTAACTAGGCTCTTTTTAAAAGTCTCCTTTCTTTAGAGATCAGGATTTTGGGAATTCTGAATTGTATTATCTTAGGTAGTGTTATGCTGCTAATTTATAAAAGATTGATGATGATTGAATTGTAGTTCTTTAATACCCTCTTCTTAATTAGCATTATTTAAATTTTATTATGTTGATTCAGGACTCTATTTATTCAATGCCTGCATATTAGCCAATGAGATAAGATTTTAGCCCTTAGAATTTAAAATGTCCTACTTAAATTTTTCATTTTAGTTTTTAAAATACTATCTTGATTGATAAGAACATTCTCTAAAAATGATATTAAGAATCGTTTTTATTTTCGGACAATATTATAGTACTTACAAATTCTTTTGCATACAAAAAGGCTTTAATTCAATTGGTCTCTTGATATCGGCTGCACTTTTGGTTGAAATTACCGCTGTGACAGGGTTTTTTTCGATAACAGAAAAGTTTACATTATACCTTCCATCATTAAGTGGGTGAGTTGGCTTTATAACCTAAATAAAAAATTATCGCAAAAGTAAGTTACCCTATATATTAGTTACTGATCTCTGGGAACTGATTTAAAAATTGACATAAGAAATTTATCCTTCCCCTTTTTTATTCGTTTTGTTATCACAGTGTTTTGTTTTTCCATATTATGTGGTTCATCAACACTCTCGTTCTAATGTGCTCTAAATAATGAGAAAATATTTACTTTTAATTTTTCAAGAATACTATCATATTATACGTTTTTATCATCTATCTCAAATATACTTTCATGAAAAGGCACGGACAAGGAGTCTTCTTTAGGAAGAGCTTATATTTTTTATTTTTAGTTAAAAACTAGATAAAGGACTGAGGTAGACTTGCCCCTTCTTGAAAACATAGGAGTACCTTCTCCACATTTTTGCATTTGATTAGTTTCAACTATCATTTTATTTTTCACTTATAAATTTTAGAAATTAAAATCTGAATCTAAAACAATACTCTTGGGGTTTTGGGGTTTTGGGGTTTTGGGG